TTTAAAAGTGAAATTGCATCCGTATCAGCTGTTTATGTAAATATTATTCAAATATTTTAAGTTGCAAACTTCAAGCTTTTCAAATCTAATTTTAATCAAAAGATTTTCTAGCGGTGAGTAATTTTTTCAGCCTCCTTTAAATTAATACAGGGCCCGTATTCGAATAAAGTTCGATTCGATATTTGAGATTACGGCATTCGGTAGTGAGTTTGCTTCTTCAATTCAAATTGTACTGGAGAGAAAACAACTGTCATTTTATTTCATTCGATTCGACTAATAGGTTGCAAACTTCAACCATTTCAAATCTAAAGCTTGCTATACAGTTCAATGCGAGCGTGAGCGTGAACGTTCGCAAAGGCAAAGAATTCCATTTGTATTCCCAGCCAGCAGAGAAACGTACTCGTTTCGTACTTTTTTCGTATCCGGAAACGTTCAGAAAACGATTTCGATATTTGTTCATTTTTCGTATCCGAAAAAATTCATCATCTTATTTCAAAACAACAATTTTAAAATATTTATTCAAACCAGGGTACGAAATAAACTGTACAAAACAATTCCCATTTGCTCATCGATCATCATATCATTTGTGGTTTTGTACAGTTTTGTACATAGTCAGAAACAAATTGTAAGATTCACTGTCATTTTCCCCAACGAGAAACGTTTGCTTTTCGTTTGTGACAATTGTACCATAGGGTACGTTTTATATGTATGCAAACGTTTCAATTACGTGAAAAATATTTTTTTCTGTAAATTTTCATATCCAATTCAATTAAAAAACACGTACTACATACATACATATATTTTTCTCTGCACGATTCATTTCGTTTGTTGTTTCGTCTGTAACTACTAAACTACTGTAGTGTTCTATCTCAAAGTGAACTCAGCCGTTTTCTTTTCGTTTTGTACCGAACTGTTGAAGTAATAAACGAAACGAAATAGTAACGTACAATATAGTTTATTTTTGTACACTGATTCAAACTGAGCATTTGAAAACATGTATACGTATTCGCCAGTAGCTGAGTGTGCAGAGAAGTGTGCTACTATTTGTCAGCTTTCAGGAGGTCCCAGGTTCGAATTCCGTCAGAAGCATCACATTAAAATTATTTATTCAAATTGAAATAATTATCGAATCTTAAAATTGTTTTTTATTTGGTTTCCTGTAACTATGAAACAGTTTCTGTGAAGTTCATAATGAAATTGTTTTCAACGAAACATTGAATCACACAAATTTCAGGGAAACAGCCGAAAGCGCATCCGTTTTACAACCATTTTCGATCGTTTTCCGCACACACGTTTCGGATGAACACTTTAGTAGGAGAATTGATCCGGAAAGCGGATGA